TACTTTTTTCAATTCCCTTATTATTCTTGGGTTTTTCTTTGGTCTGCATTTTCTTTTGTAACATGGACAATATGGAAATTTTTGTATGATTTCACATGTAAAATCTATATTAAATTGCTTGCCTTCTCAAAGAGGGAGGAGGGAAGGGAGAGAATTTCAAACTCAGAATTTTTAAAAAATGAATATTAAAATTGTTTGTTTTGTTTTGTAATTGAAAAAAACAATAAAAAAGAAAGCAAGAAATACAGGGCATTCTTAGGCAATGCCAGTTTTGGGGTTGTATCTTTGGCAGTCCTGGGTTAGACTTGGGTATTTAGCCTTCTGGAAAGAGTGTAGTTACTAACTGGTGTCAGGCTTTTAGAGAGAAAACATCCCAGAATCCAATCTTTTAGTGAGAAGGTGTGGGAATGTTCTTGGACAGCACCAGCCTCTTAGGGAGAAGATGATCACATACATTTCTCTGGGAAATGGAGATTCAGCAAGAGTCTATGCTATGGTACAAGGCAAAAAAAAGAAAAGATTCTGACAAGATGGTGAAATAGGTCCCAAAATTCCAAGCTCTCAAGATTTTCTTCCACAAAAGAGATAAAACAGTGCCCTAGGCAAATATACAGTGGTAAAAATAATAAGAGAGAAGGTAGAACAGGGGTCCTCCTGGGACAATCAGAGAAGATCTAAAGAAAAATCCTAGGAGGAGGTTTGGCCCCTGTGAGTAGTAAACACCTGCAGGCTAGGGATCTCTTAAACAACAAGCGGCAAACCCTGAGGTTAGCTGGGTGGGGAGGCTGCCTTGGCCCAGCAACAGGAACTTTTACCCCTAAGACAATGAAGAGTGTTGGGCGTCTGAGTTGGGGAAAATGGAGGGCCTCTACTGACAAGGAATGAGAGACCTAACTGTGCAGAGGAGCTGCAAGAAAGGACGAGAAGCAACCAGCACACATCTGGTGAGTGCATAAACCATGGGATAGGGACGCAGTTGACTGTGGGCACTTACAGGAGGCTGGATGTCTTGGTTCGGGTTCAAAGTCAGAAAAGAGAATTGAAGGAGAATCTGAGGCTAGAAGCACCATCCCCCAACCCCCAAGACTAGAAATGATGACAAAAATTAAGCTATTAAAAAAAATGCACAAGCAAAGTAGAAAGAATACAACCATAGAAAGTTACTATGGGAATAGAGAAGGTTCATCTTCAGAGGAGGATATTGAAGCAAAGAAACCCTCTTCTACCCCAAAGAATAACATCAAATGATGTCAAATAGTCAAATAGTCCCCTGACCAAAAAGAATTCATAGAAAAACCTAAAAAAAAACTGTAAAAATCAAATGAGAGAGATTGAGGAAAAACTAAAAAAAAAAATCCAAGAAAAACAAAAAGATTATGAAAAGAAAGTCAGCCAATTAGAAAAGGATATCCAGAATTTTAAGAAAGAAAATGACTCTTTGAAAATCAGAATTGGGTAAGGGGAAGCCAGTGAGATAATAAGAGATTTAGAAATAATAAAACATAATACAAAGGATGAAAAAATAGAAGAGAATGTGAAACACCTCATAAGAAAAACAACTGATCTGGAGAATAGATCAAGAAGAGAAAACATAAGAAAAATTAGACTATCTGAAAGCTATGATCAAAAAAAGAATCTTGATATAATAATTGAAGAAATAATTAAAGAAAATTGTCCTGAAGCCTTAGAACAAAAGGAGAAAGTAGAAATAGAAAAAAAATACACCAATTACCATCTGAAAGACATCCTATGAGGAAAACCCACGAAAATATTATAGTCAAATTCTGAAACCCCCAGTTCAAGGATAAAATACTATGAGTAACAAGAAAAAAACAATTTACATATGGTAGTGCCATAATTAGAATGCCACCTAGCAGTAGTAACACTAAAAAACAGCAGGTCTTAGAACTCTATTTATCAAAGAGTGAAAGAACTGGGCTTCTGGCTAAAAATATCATACCCAGCAAAGCTAAGCATAATTCTGAATGAAAAAAAGTGGATATTTGATGAATTGTCAGACTCTCAGGACTTTGTTAAAAAAATAGAATAATAGAAGATTTGAGGTATAAGAGCCAAGAGAAACATAAGGTGCAACCTAAGACCAATTACAAGGGATTCAATAAGGACAGACGGTTTACTTTTTATGTATGTAAAATGTAAAATGTATATCTAAGATTGTTATTAGTGGATTGGGTAGTTAATAAGAAAGATTGGGATAGACCTGAATATGATATGACTTCAAAAAGTAAAACAATTCAGAAATAACTGAAAAGAGTAAATATCTTATACAAATGAGGTAAAGAGGAAGAACCCACACAGAGGAATTAGATGGGGAGGAGAGCTGTTAGTTCTGGTAACCTACTTTCATTGGAAATGGGTTTAAGGGAGGAAAAATGCACATATATCTAGAAGAATATAAAAGTCTTCTAAATTTAGAAAGAAATAAAATACAAAGGGGATGGGGGGAGAAGATAAGGGAAGGATCTTTAGAGGGGAAGGTCAGGGAATAGGTTAAATGGGGATATAGAAGGACGTTTAGATTAATGGAAATGGGAAGATTAAGGAGGGATCCTTGGAGGAGGGGTAGGCTAAGTAATAGGAAGGCAAAGTAGAGAGCAGAAGTAAAGTAGAGGAGTCAGGAGGAATAGGAAATAAGGGATATTCACAAACATAAAAATAAAAGATAAGGAGTAGAATCTTTTAGGGAAAGCATATGTTTATACATGTATGTATGTATGTGTTTATATGTACATGAATATATCTATATCTATATCTATATGTAAATATAACCATGTTTAATTGTAGTGGGGAGTGGAGAGGGGGGAAGATGTGAGGGAAAAGAACAAAGTAAAAAGTGTAAAGAAAATCTCCAAGGAAGCAAAGAAAAGATGGACTGCTCTCAACACAGTGTGTAGTATTTAATATATTGGCTTTCTTCAAATGGAAATTTATTACTGTATATTTTGAATCCTTTCTTACATTCTATTGTGCACGTGGCATGTTTTTTTTTCTTTTCTCATTTTATATTTGCATTTTAATATGTAAGTTTATAATACATTTCTTTTTCTTTTCTAATTATGTATTTGTTTTAATAAAAAAATTTTTAAAAAGTAAAAAACCCAGGCTTTGCCTTCCTTTATTTACTATGCATTATTTGGATGGTGCAAGTCTGATCAGAAGGTTGCTGCCTCTTTAAAGCCCAAAGTTCCTTTTATTTGGAAAGGGAAAGGGGTTCAGGCCTTTAGTACCATAAGGTCTCTGTGGTGAAACTGGGACTCACTAGAATTTCAGTGGATCATCTGTTTAATATTCCCAAGTTTGTTTCCCTTTCACAGGGAATTCAAACCATAAAATGGCACTGTAATTCTGAAGGATTGTACAGAGCCATGGAAGAAGGTGAAATTCAGTGGATTTTGAGGTTTCCCACAAGCAATTCTGGGCAGAGCACAATAAGTCAAAGATAGTGATTTGGGAATAAGGAGAGATGCCAAGATCTGACTCTGTCCATGTAAACCCCGAGCCTGGGGAACATGGGCCAATGCATGAACAGTGAATTATAGAGATATGAAATCATGAATGATGTGAAATTTGGAGGGTATTGTAACAGAGACATTAACTATTGTGAATGTCATGACTAACATGTTTTAGAATTATTACAAATCTACCCTCTTTATACCACTCCCTACTTATCCAAGAAAAAAGTAAACTGCTTACAGGTCATTGAACTCTAATGGCTTTTAAATCCACACTCTATCTCTTAGTTCCTGGGCTCATATTCTAATGATAAATTATGGAAAACCAGAGAAGAATTCATGTAATTCCAGAAAGGTAACATTTGATTTTTAACATTTCAAGGAACACAAAAAAATAATTGTTCTACAAAGTGACTTTGTAATGACCAGTGATGTGAGATATCCTCCTCCTCTATCTTAGCTATTCACTGCCACAGCTTATGTCAAAGACTGAGCTAGTATCTCAGTTAAATGGTACAAATGCTATCTCATAACTAAGGGAAAAGCAGTTGCAACATTTTTAACCAAAATTTCAGTATAAAACAAAATCAATGCTTTGGTTCCAAACTGGGTGCAGGTGGAGCAAAAGGAAGAAATAAGAAGGCTAGGGGATGGGAGATAGCAAGAAAAGACAATGTTCATCAAATGCAAAAGAACAAATTTGCTGGAGAAAGCCATTTCATTTTCAATCTCCTAAGAGGTTATTAAAAGCAACATATCATAAAAACTACTTTTATGAGTATTTGACTGTGTCCTTTTACATGACACTCCTTTCTCATCCACACACAAGCCAGTCAGAGAGAAATGAGAATGAAAATGAGATGAGAAAAGGAAAAAAAAAAGCTTTTTAATAACTATTGGAACTCCTGCAACTGGTGTTCTGCAGTGGTCTCATTGAATGACGTTGATAACTCAATTTTATACTCCCAAACAAGAAGAATGGGGGTCATAATTGTTCTATTTTTCTACTTGTATTTTTTATGATTAAAATACCTTTTCAACCTGTTTAGAACTGAATCTAACATATTTTTCTCTTCACAAAGCTACACATATACAGAATAAAGTGAGAGGATTAAAGAGAACCATGCATTCAATACAAAACCTAAACTACTTGAGATCATGGCTTATGAAGTTTATTCTTAAAGGTTGCTATGGAAGGAGCTTTTGAAACTTCCTAATATCCATCTGAATTTTATTAACCCTTACAATAAAAAAATCCTTACTTAAATCTTATCTCAACTCTTCCTCTTTCATTGAAATTATTTTTTTATTCCATGTTTAGTATAATTGTACGCTTTAATTATAGACAGGAAAATTAACATCAGGATGTTTTGGGGTGAATGGAAATATGCATTTAGACCACTATTATTTACCACTACCACCACTGCACTTCTTTGATCCTTCAGAAAATGGACTTAGTGACAAACATTAAGTAGGTAATTAGGTGGAAGCCCACATCTTAAGAATAATAAATCCATTCAAAGTTACCTTTTGTAGAATCATCTTCTATTGGCTGCTTGAACAGGGTAATATCCTTAAAAGTACACAGGAACAAGACTACCTTTTCATGTTCATTTCTTATGGGTGCAATTTGCATATAGAACCAAACTGGGGTTCCTGTAACAAAAACAAGATTGATTAGAATAGATAGATAGACAGACAGACAGATAGATAGATAGATAGATAGATAGATAGATAGATAGATAGATAGATAG